CTGCTAGGCTTGCTCCCGGAGGAGACCCTACTAGCACGTCGTCAAGGTCGAAAAGGAAGGGGGCGCTGTGGGATCGTCCGCGCCTCAGCCAGGACCGCGCCTTCTCCTCCCGTGGAGCGCCCGGCGAGGCCACCATCTTCCCCCTTCAGCTTTTGCTTGTGGTTTTGAATGGGGCTTGAGGGAGCACCTTTGGGGCGACGCTGTTCTGCCCTGTCCGTTACGGAGAAAGGCGGGCTCCTTGGGCTGCCCAGGTGCGCCCACCAGGTCCGTCCTTTGCCGACGGGAAGGGCCGTCGCCTTCTCGCAGGCCCAGCGCTGCCAGCCTACGCGGGCTCACCTGGGCGCCAGGGCTAGCGCCTTCGCCATTTTTGGCGGAATACTTTTGCAACGCATCCTCCTCCGACCTGAGAGGAGGCGTTTCATTTTTTTTTTAACATAACAAGGCGGAGGAGGCATCTAGAACTCCGCTAGGTCCATTTTCTTCCCCTCACTGCATATATTATCGAATGAGAGCTTATTTTTATTTTATTTTTCTGGCGCGTCTTGTTGCACGAGAAGAGCCAAAAGGGCATATCTTTATGTTTACTATAGGGTTCTGGATCTTTTTATTTAAAAAATGAGGGAGAGAAATCGGGTCCCAATTCGGAGGACCAAGCAACAGCTTTTACATGGAGGATGGAAGGCGACCAGTTGCGCGCGCGCCCCCTCCGCGTCTCGCCTCCCCTCGCAGCGCCCGCCCTAGCTGGCCTTCGCCACGTGACGCGCACCGTCCAATAGGCACTCGGGGCGGTGGGGATCCGGCTGGAACCGGTTGGGCCGTGTCCGGCTCTATATAAAACTTTATAAACACCCGATTCAAATTAGTGGGGTCGCGAGCGACACGAGCGAACCCGACAAACGGACCCCCCTTCCTCTTCCTGTCCGTCCGCCCTTCTCTCCTCTCCGCGCCGCTTTCCCGCACAAGCAGCCGCCTCGCTTCCACCTCCAGAGACCTTGCTTTTTCCACCTCAGCCTTCTCTTGTCTTCCCTCTCTTGTCACGCGCTGCCGACATGCCCAAGAGAAAGGTACGTGGCTGCGGCGAGGGCGCCTCACGGCCCGGGACGTGAGACGGGCGAGGGGGAAGGAAAGGGGGGAAAAAAAAGAGTCGTCGAAGGGAGTGATGGCTTATGCGGGGGTGCGAGGCGGACCAGCCGCCATTTTTGCCTCTTTCCTTTCTCTTCTCCCTCGCCCCCCCTCCGCACTCTTTTTCTTTTTTTCCCCCCTCCCTTTACCTCCCCCTTCTCTTCCCTCCCCCTTCGGGCGATTAACGGTTGTGAGGCAGCGGGAAGCGCGTGCGCGCGAGGCGGCGGAACGGTTGTCGTCAAGCCTGAAGTGTAGGGAGGAGGCGGAGGAGAGTGGGCGGGGGCGGAGCCAATGCGACCGTTAACTGCCGCGCATTCTTGGTGGCCTATTAGGGAAGCGGGCGGGGGTGGGGAGGGAGGGGAAGCTCGAAGCCTTGCGAAGGGAAAGGGAGGGGGCGCGCACGCGCGCTTCTTAATTATTGGCTGCTCCGCGCCCTCGCGCTACTCTCGACCAATAAGAGGAGGGCGCGTGCCCGAGCGAGGCGGGAGGGGGGGGAGGAGAAGGGAAAATGAAGCCGATCCGACCCGCTTTGGGTTTTTGGCGGGACTCACGTGCGTGGATGAATGGGAAGAAGGAGGCCTCCGCGTGCTCTGTTTCGAGCCCCCGTGAACTGTGCGGGTCCCCCTCCCCCAATAAAAATGGCCCCTTTTTGGGGGGGAAAGGCGGGAAAGGTAGATCGCCGCAAATAAGCGTTAGGTTTAAAAATCCGGGGGTGAGGAGAACGGTTAACCCTGCAGAGCTCGGGCACGAGTTCTTTCGGCTACCCCCTCAACGAAGAAGCTTGGGAGGCCCCTTCCTTTCGCCCTCCATGCCCTGCTCGGAAAGGAGACAAAAAAAAATCTTCCCTGCTGCCTTCTTTGTGACAGGCAGCGGGGATGTCCATTTGTGCACCTTCAAAGGAAGGGGAGCCTACGCTGAAAGGTTCTTGGAGTGTAGAAAGGCAAATCGCTTTCCCTCCCATGCGCATAGAATAAACACCAGTTGCTACGCATACGCTTGGTGGTGTGTTCGCTTTCATGGAGCAGTTGCCAAATCCCCTTTTCAGCTGCAACAGGCGTTTCTGGATTCGGATTTTCAAGGAGCTTTTAGGGCAGAGGCCGAAGGAGGTTGCCTGAGTTCTGATTGCCTTGAATTGCGGAGAGAGGCAGGAAAAACATAAAAGGAATGGCTTTCTAGATCTGTAGAGGCACCAAGAGTAGGCAGAAATGTACAAGATCAAAATTCCATAAATAAGTGAGATCTTGGGCCTGTTGCATGGGCTCAACAGAGGTCATAGTGTTCTGAAATAAAAGGAGCCATTATGTTGTCTAAAAAGCTGCAATGCTGGGGAATAAAGAATAATGGATCAAAATAGGGGGCATCTGGCAATTCTATTACCAGCACAACCCTCCAACAAACACATCTCTCTTTGCAAGGACATGAGGTCTCCAGAAATACAAAGATCAGTGTATTGATAAAAGAAAAGAGCTAGATATTACATGTAATGTTGATAGCTCATTCTTCAGTTAAATAATAATCAGCCTCAACCGTGGGGATGATGTATTCAATAAAGGTTTGTTGTAGCTATATACAATTCTTTAAAATTAAATCTTAAAAGCTTGGATTTTTCTGATAGCTGTGTTGAGCCTCAAGGAATGAATGCATGGTGTTACCACCATTAGCATTATTATTTTTTTTGTGCAATTGGAAACATTCTGTGTCTACAATTTTCACAAATAATGGCTGAATTAGCAATTGTAGGAATGTCAGGTGCCGCTTTTCTGCTATTTATGGCGTGAAGGCAACACAGTCAAAATGCTGTAGTTATGAGAGTGCAGATGTAAAACCTGAATATGGAGGAATCGGGCAAGAAACTGGAATGTCCATTTTGTTATTTGGCCAGTATGCTAAGAGTGGATATGGTGAATCAATTGTAGAATGCCAAGTCAACACTTGAATAAATACCTATTCAGTTAGTGAGTCTAGTCTAGTAGGCAAGGACTGGCACTAGGATACTGGTCTTTACGTTTTAGACGAGTATGTTAATTTAAACCCAGTTCATAGGAGATCAAAGTAGAATTTTGTGGCTTGTGTTTCTATGGCCATTTCATTTTTGAAATTCTTTCTAGGCTGAAGGAGATACCAAGGGTGACAAGGCTAAAGTAAAGGATGAGGTAAGAATGTCCTTTTAAAAAATACAACCTGAATATGCATGTGGGTTGTATTTTAAGTTATTTCCCAAATCCAGTATTTTATTTTATTCATGGACCACACGGATAAGCTTCTTAAAATTCCATTGAGTTCAGCCAGTCAATTCTGAATGTTTCTGAATCTGCCCCAAAGACTACTGTATATTTAGATTTTTCTGCTACCTTGGATTAATTTTAACTTTATAAATTGTATAATTTGTGTTTTATGTGCTTCAATTTGTTTTAGTTGGCTGTTATATTTCAGGTGATCTAATAAAGTATAAGAGAAGACGTCTATTATTACTGCTGTGAAGACTCATTTTAAATTCTGTCTTCTTTACAGCCACAGCGGAGATCAGCAAGGTTATCTGCTGTAAGTATATTCTATGATAGAATGCCTTCAGGAGCGTTAGGGTTTGATAGTCATAGCTATTAATGATAGCAGCATTACTGTTGACAACCCACACACTAAGGGCAAAATCTTACATTGCAAAACTTAGAAGAATAAAATTTTGAACATTTCTGAGGAGAAAAAACACTTTCATTTCAGTGGTGCTGCAGGCCTGGTATGACATTGGGTTTAGGCCTAGGTTGTACTCCAGTATAAGAGAATGGTAAACTATTTCTGAATGCACTATACCTTAAAAACAAAAGAAGGCCTCCATAAATTGGAATTGACTTGATAGCACACAATTACTAATGATTTATTACTTCTGATCCTGAAAGTACGCACCAAAGTGGACACATTTTTTACTAATATTTTATTTTAATTTGTTTTCATTTACAGAAACCAGCTCCTCCAAAACCAGAACCCAAACCTAAAAAGGCAGCTCCAAAGGTAAAATTAAAATTTGAAATTTCAGCTTGAAAACATTGTGATACCTTAGTCTGTTATATGCTTAGGCAGTTGTTTTTAAATGCCCTGGAAGTCCTTCATAGGAAGAGATATTGGTGGTTTTATGAAGTAATAGCTCTTGATTTATTTCTATTGATTCACAGAAGGGTGAGAAGGTACCCAAGGGGAAGAAGGGGAAAGCTGATGCAAACAAGGATGGAAACAACCCTGCAGAAAATGGAGATGCCAAAACAGATCAGGTATAATAGCAATGTAATATAAGCCATGCTTATAATTTTTAGTACCACAGGTATGAATGGAGTTTGGCTAAGACGAGTAATGTGGACAAGCGATGAGTTCAGTAAATTTTATTTACTGGGACATTGTGAACAAATTGATTAATTATAGCAGTAACAGTTCTTAGGATGTCGCTTTTATCATCAAAGGGATTGATTTTGACAGTAGGTGTGTGCCTATTTCGTGCACAATGTGGATTCATGCAGATATTGGCCATGTGATAGTAAAATCCCCATCAATATAAAGCACTATCTGATAGGACTTCCTTTTGTTTTTCAGGCACAGAAAGCTGAAGGTGCTGGGGATGCCAAGTGAATTGTGTGAATTTTTGATAACTGTGTACTTCTGGTGACTGTACAGTTTGAAATACTATTTTTTATCAAGTTTTATAACAATGCAGAATTTTGTTTTACCTTTTTTTTAAGAGCTATGGTGTTAGCACACAGAATGCTTCATTGTTGTGTTTGGGGGAGGGGGACAAACGTCATTGACTGTTGCTTAAATCCTGAACTTTTAAAAGTCTCCCTTGAATTGTGCAAGAGGGGGTCTTCATGGACACACACAAAAAGGAGGATTCTCTGATATTGTTGTCTGTACTGGTTTCTGAAATGTTTCCGCAAACATTGAAATGCCCCCAAAACATGTGTCTTTAGATGAAGGCAAATTATAAAACGGTACCTCTTGTCATTTGCGTTGGGTTTCTTACTCCTGTGAATGGCATTAGGATCTTTTGATACCTGTTTTCATAAACCAAATCATTCTTACAATGTTGGGCAATCTAGACTTTGGGTGTCTGAGAGAGGAAGGATGGCTTGTAGAAGAGCCACATTTCCTTTTAAAGTGTCACTCTTCAAATGAAGAATTCTGCAATTTTGTTTCCCTCTAAAAGTCAGGGTAGGCTTGTGAGAAGTTGTTAAACAACATACTAAATGTGAAAGTGTCCACCCTCACTCTAAACTTTCCCTGTTCCAAGTATGAATTGAAGAGTCTTCATTGGGTTTTATAGAGTAACTTTACATTTTGGTAGTCCAAGACGGGGAGTTGGAACTTGTTGTAAAACATTGCAGATTGTAGCCCATGTCCTGCCTGAATACCATTGATTAATCGTTTTATGAAAAGTACCTTTAATAAAGCTGGATATTGTTTGGCTTGGACTGTTTTTTTATTAAATAATGTTCACTTGCTCCCTAATACCCTCTTTCAGGTTTACATTGGCAAGTTTAAGCATATCTCAGCCATTTCAATACTCAAACTGTGATTGGAGCAAAGGGCTAAGAATTATATTACATAAATAGCAACAAATGCATTTTTAAAAAAATTATGAACCAGTAATACTAAGTAGTGGGATAGAATATGTAACTATATTTTTATCTCCTTGACAGCTCTGGTATATGGTTTCCCTTAGTGTTCTGGTATATGTAAGCTTCCATATTTTGATTTGAAGTGGCTCAAAATTTAGATTAACGACCTTTGGGGTAAAAAGTGATAGTATCCCTGACTGCTCCATTTCACTTCTCAAATGTTCCTGCTTGTATCTCAAGAACCAGTCATCACAATCATAGGTTATCTTTCAATCTTGGCTCCTGTTGTATCCTTTCCCCAGCACTGTGAGTAAGGTTGATTAATAAGCATTTGTGATTTAGAAGATTTCATTGTGCAGCTAATTCAAATATGTTACCCTGCTTCCGTTGTATCTAATGATAAAGGTTGTTAACATAGTATTTTATATGTTAACTTGTTAAGGAAGTGTTTGGATAAACTGCACAGTCTTACAGTGTCTTGGGTTCTGGAAAAAGTACATTGTACTTTGTAAACCCATGTGAAAAAAAATTTTTTAAAAAAAATAATTCAATTATTTCTGCAAAAGACCAAGGAATTGAAGCTTCAACTTGCATCATGCCCTATTGTACTTCTTCAGACCTCTAATCGCTTTCACTTTAAAAAAATCACTTCACTTACACAGTCAGCCATCAGCTACCTTCCATGTGCACATACCTGTTCAGTGAGAACATTGTTAAATCACCTGGGAGGGGGGTCATCAGGCCATTATATAAAGAATGCATCTAATCTACATATAAATTCAAACTTAGATTTTGCTGGCATCAAAAAAATAGGGTTAGAGCTAATCTTATTTTTATGGCAAAAAAAGGAAAGAGCGGGTTTCCTGTACCTTGTATGGAAGAGAAAATTCCAGCCCGTCTTTTTAAATAACTCAGATGAAGCACCTAACTGCAAAGCCAGATGTTTGGTTCCCCACTGTGTCATTTAGGAGAAGAGCCACCTTGTGTGGTCTTGGGCAAGGTTGGTACTACAGAACCCCAGAAGAAGGGAATTGGAAGCCACATCTATTTTGTAGACAGTGTGTTGCTATTGAAGGTAAAAAGAAAACTCAGTTTTCATCTGGACACCTTATTCAGAAGAGGATGCTAAGTAACTGCCTCCCTTAATGTACAGTACATGAAAAATTGTATCAATTTGTATTTCTCCTTAATAGTAAGCCTTACAACATTCTTGTAAATTTTGGTTTTCAGCTAAGTTGAGAAAGTACATTAAAACTGCATTTCTGTTCAGAAATCTGATTTCATTGAGACAATCCCAGATAAGTATATAAGAATTACAGTGTTTCACTGTAGTCGTGTACTTAACATGCTCAATAATTATGCCCCACTACTTTCAACTTGGGAAGTAATTTTATTACTGAGTGAACATCTAAGATGGTGGTATAAAGTTGAAAACAAGTTTGACTCTGTGGAACATAAACTCACAAAGATCTGGTTGAAAACAATTATATTTTTGGATCTTCAATAATGAAGGTTCAAATTAAAATTTTACAAACTGAAAATTCTGGACTGGCTGCATTGTTTCCTGTTATAGTTGTAATGTGTGTTATAATATTTGTAATGCATTCCAAACATACAAGGAGGATTTACATGACATAGGTTTTTGACATTCAAGTGTTTTTGATGCAAATTTGAAAGCACCAATTCCTGTATTAACTTACTATTCATAAGTACAAAAAAGGGTGAGTATTAATGAAAAAAGGGATTGTTGAAAATGCTGTGTAAATGCTTTGCTGTACATTATATAGCTCACTTTGCTATATCTTTGGTCTCTTCTTCCTAGCTGTACAGTAGAAACGACATTTCTCTTGGGAAATTTCCCAAATAAAAATAATTGTGCAAAAAGTCTCAGGAGGTAGTATTAATTCATTTAATCTAAATTGTGTAATAGAACTAATCGCGCTAGAGTAGTACAGCACTTGTTTTGCATCCTGATGCTTCAGCCTAGTTAACAGATAGCAGACCAGATGGAAAATAGATCCAGAAGGTCAAACTAAAGTTGGAAGACCAAATCCTGCTTAGACTAATGGTAAGGCAAATCTTGCATCTTCAGGTAGAAGCCAGAGTGTGTTTGTCAGATCAAAGGTGATCAGATGTACTGGAATTCCCACCAGCCTTAGCTAACATAGCCAGTGGCAATGAATGCTGGAAGTTACAAGCTGACAACATTCACGTGTGAACTTAATCCCTCATGGTCAACTAAGGACTAGGGTGAGCAATCTGCAGCCCACCGAATGTTCAATTGCAACCTCCACGCTCCATCAAAAGTGGCTTTGTTGGCTAGCAATATCTGGAGGGCCACAAATTGTCCACTCCTGTTCTACAGTATTTACATTGCTATTTTCTAGGTACTCATTTGAGAACAAGAGGTGTATTTTACCCGCAACTTTGAGATTGTGCTATTGGACAGCACTTCCCATAACCTACCAGCAGGGCTGGTGGATTCTGAGAATTTTAATCAAAAACATAATTTCCAAGCTCTGATTTTACTGTACAAACTTAATTTATAGGATGGCGAATGCCTGTAATAAAGAGTGGTGCTATCCCTTCATTAAGGGCTTCATGCTTCTGCACAATGTGTGCTGAGACTCAAATGGGAGATCTGTTATGTCTGCTTGGATTTTGCTCATTAAGTGTAAATTCATAACAAATTCTTTAGCGTCAACCCTTTTCCTTCACAGTCAATTTGTAGGCATATCTTCTGGAACCAGGTGAATATATTTTGGATCAAATGAGGACCACAAACATAATTATGGTAAAAGTTCAAATATGTTTATTAACAAGAAAGGATTGTTGACAAAGCAGTCCGTTGTAGTACTGTCTGCGGTAATTCCTCTCATTCTGTGCAACAGGCATTTTGAACAGCTTTAATTAAAAATTGAATGCATGCATTGATGTACACTGCAGTTAGGTCTATTTAAATTAATGAAGTTACTTGTAATCCACTTCTTGAGGTGCAGAATATGAAAAATTACCATTTAAAAAATAAATAGATGCCAGACTTCACTGGATATTTGATTCCCCATGCAGTATAATGCCAAGCTTACCAGTCTCCTGTCTGGGTGTGAAAACGAAAATGTGTAGTTTAGGTTCCTCATGTAGATTGAAAACAAAGTGATGTGGTCATAAGACTATCCTTTTGGGACTAAAGACATCTAATATGCCAGCTCGACAGAGTAATTTATTTTTATGCATAGTATATGGTTGTATTCCAGCACTTTACATTTTAGCTATATCACAAAGTCTAAGACAGTTTATAGATGTCAAACAAATCATACTTCCTTTTTGGAAATCCACTGCAATTCTGTTCATTAGGACCGCACACTGGGGGGAGGGCTGGAAAGCATGTTGCTTTTAAACTTTTCATATGTATTTGTAAAGCAGTTTTGCAAGTGTTTTATTGAAGATACGATGATTTTGCAAAACATTATTTCTCCATTACTGAACTGTTTGCCATGGTTCTTCTTTTGAAGTTCTTCCTTTTAATAAGATAATGTATTCTCGATAAGATGGATGAATTACAGAATGAGAATGACTTAATGACTTACTAAGTGATCTTTCACGAGTCACCCGAGTCTTCCCAAACAATCTTGATCATAGGAGTCCAAAAATATATCCTAGCTACCCTAAAACAGGATACTCCTGACTTATGTTTTCTTCCTAAAATAACATGGCAAGAGCAGGTCAAATAAATAAACCCCAGCGGTTGATCTTGCCACAAATTAAGAGTCTGTTTTTGAATCTGTGAGTTTTTGTTCAAATTACACGTCTCAGTGGGACCCTAATTGGTTGGTATGTTTCTACCTTTAATTGCAATTACTTCCAATATGCTATCTAGAATAGCAGAAGTCTCTAAGGTAATCCCTTGAAAATGTATGTATGAATGATAATTAAGAAAACTGACAACTGGGAATTGCACCTGGGTTACCTAAGGTTGGGAATCACTTGTCTACAGAAGCTACAACTGGGAATTGCACCTGGGTTACCTAAGGTTGGGAACCAACCACTTGTCTACAGAATCCCCTCTTCTGCTTGTTAGGATTCAGAAACAGAGAAGAGGAAATGCAAAACCTTGCCTCCTTTTTTCATCAGTTAACTGCACCTCACCCCAACACCAAGCAATTGTCATGGCATTTTTTCCACTAGTTATCTAGATAGTTATTGCTTGGAATTGCACCTGGGTTACCTAAGGTTGGGAACCAACCACTTGTCTACAGAATCCCCTCTTCTGCTTGTTAGGATTCAGAAACAGAGAAGAGGAAATGCAAAACCTTGCCTCCTTTTTTCATCAGTTAACTGCACCTCACCCCAACACCAAGCAATTGTCATGGCATTTTTTCCACTAGTTATCTAGATAGTTATTGCTTGGAGTACAAAGCAATCCAACTGCGAAAAGGAAGAAGGGAAAAGCAAATGTACTGTAAAAGAACAAAGGAATGTGCAAAAGGTGATTGTGTGCCATGCATATACATTAATGTAGGCTAACCGTACAGTACAGTACATCCAAAAAAATTTAAGAATTGACATTGGGTGCCTAGACATTCATGCACAACTAAGATAATAAGAGCTGCTGACCATTTTTAATGATGGACGGTTTGTCTTTATCTTTCCAGACTTGGAAGTACTGTATCAATCTTTTGCCAATGATGAAACATCGTAAGAGTAAGCTAGGCTGACTACCAGTTCAGTTCTAAATATCAGGAATGTAATTTAAAAAGTACATATAGATACACAAGTGTAAAGGATTTTTCTAATTTTAAAATTTAAAATTAATGTTTCATTAAATTATATTTTAATTTAATTGAAATTAAT